AAAAAAAAAAAAAAAAAAAGATGAGTGCCTCAGGCCAAAACCCTGAGTCCCTGAGTCCCTGAGTCCCTGAGGCCAGGGGCCTAGGGGTCCTTTGCTGTGAAACTGGGCAAAACGCGGTATTTTTGCTGGCAAACTACCGGAACCCCATAAAGCTGCAACGAAACCTCTATTTTTGCAAAGGAAACTTCGAACGGACGACATTTTTGCTGCCAAACTTCGAAACAGCAATATTTTTGAAATTAACCCTAAAATATTCGAACATGTAGGGACGACTGCCAGGTCCGGATACATTTAGAATTTTAGAGTGTTGTGCAGTGGAGCGAGGCCCATTGCCTGTTCCTCACATCACTCATCATGTGCTTCTAACTTTTTCCTTTGCCTTAGTCATGTGTTAGTACAGTGTAACTTGTCTTTTTCGTTTTTTTTATCGTTTTTTCTTTTTTGGTTCCTGGTTTTATTATGTCTCCGCTTAATTTATGTTTTTTTTTTCCGGTCTTTTTTTCCTATTTGGGATTGACTTTCCCATTTCAGAGTTAGGGGTGGTATGATTAATTAGACCTTCTACGGCTGCGCGGAGTGCACTCACTCATTCGAGGTAATCAGAGGAATTAACTCTACAAAAAAACAAAAACGAGAAAAGCATTTAGCTGTACGTATCGGGCCTGTCTATGGCATATCATAATGCATTTCATTTAGGGCCTCCCACGCCGCTGTCCACACGAAAAAGGTATGAGTGCATCTTCCCCCGGAGAATGGCTGGATTCATCCGCTACTATGAATAGCAACGGATGCATCTTACCACTTTCTGTGGAAGATGCATTCGTTCCTTTTTTCATTCGAACAGTGGTGAGGGGAGGCCCCTTAGTCAGTCAGCTTTCATTTAGTGAGTCAACCTCCGACCTTGCATCAAGAGCGGAATCAGATTTCAAAATTTCAAAACAAAAGAGGAAGGAGCAGAATCAGATGAGCCTCGCAGGGATTTAAAAAGGAAAGGGAAAAAAAAAAGGTGTGGGTAACCGCGGCTGTCAAATGAATGAACATATCAACTATTAGAGAGAAGAGAGAAATGTCACCCCCAATATTCCAACGTATTACTTACCTACCCACCCACCCACCCACCCACCCATCCACCTGGTCACCGTCCGAGCCCCCTACCGGTAGCCAGCCAGCCAGCGGGAAGCTGACGAGTGAGCGAGCCAGCAAGCGAGAAGGCCAGCGAGCCAGCAAGCCAATGGACCGGCCAGCCAGCCTCTGCCAGCCGGCCACAACATGCCAGCACGTCATCCCGTCAGTCAGCCAGTAAGCGAAGTTTATTTTCGCAAGTAAATCATTCAAGCAATCATTTCGTCTTCTCTCTCTCTCTCTCTCTCTCTCTCTCTCTCTCTCTCTCTCTCTCTCTCTCTCTCTCTCTCTCTCTCTCTCTCT